TGTGATTCAGCAGTTTAAGCCAAGTGTTGTGGGCTAATTCCCCTCACCAGTGGCTGATTTGTGGTGGGTGTGTGGTTCTAGTTCTTGCCACCGATATAGGAGGGGAGTTCTTGGAAGACAGGTTAGTGGTAAGATATTGGATCCACTTGGACTAGAGTAGTAAGAGGTCCCCACAGGATTCAAGGTTACAGAATAGATGAGAAAACACATTATAAGAGCTTTTATGTGCTTGTAAGTGGATGTCCTTAGATATCTAGGATTTGTAAGTAACAATTATTCTTTTGGAACTGAACTATGCAAGCCATTGTTTTATAAGCATTTTAAAAGTACACACTATAATGCTTGGAAAAAATATGTAGTTGAATAATTCACCTGTGTCTTATCCCTGTGGAGAAAGGAAAAAAAAAAAAGCAGCTATATCTCTTGGAAACTTGAGTTCTTTCCTGAAAGTTCTTTTTAGACATGTGAGAGAATGTAAGGGTTATAACTAGTGGGTCTTTTCCTTCTTTGAGGATCTTCTCTACCACCCATTTCTGATGTGGGAAGAGACTTTAATGGGAAAGAATCAGTATTAAGGCCAATTGGAGTCTCTTTTATTGATATCAAAACATCTGTGCTTCCTGAGAAAAAAGAACTGAGAATCATCGTAATTCTGAGTGTCTGGAAAAGAATTCTCAATGTTTTATATTCACACTCCCATTCTTTGATCCCCCTTATAAATCTTTTCCCCCAAAATAGTCCTCAGTCCAAAATGATTTATTTTTATCTTGCCTTTACCCCGATAATTTGAAAGTGTTGTGTTTCCAAAAATTTGTATTGTTTTCATGAATCACATCTTTTTTCCGATTATTGTAAGTTAAGATTTTTCTTACTTTGTACAACTCAGTACTCTACAAAGAAGGATGAGATAACAAAGGATGAAAGCTGGAGTCTGTTTGTGAGCCGTGAGTTCTTTTCCTTGGTAGTTTCACTGAATAATCTGCCACTAATATGATGCATGATATTGTCTTGGCAGTTTATTATTTTGAGGCAATAGAACATAACAGATTGGAAGGAACTATCTTGATCTATTGTATCAAGAATCCACAATTTATAGCTCTGTCTATTTACTGGTAAAAAGACACTCCCTGAGAGTAGAAGGCATATGCATCTATGTAGTGATAAGAATGTGGTCCTTTAAAAATTTTTTGATATCCTTACATTTGTACAGTGCCTGCGGTTAGGGACAAAATTCCCTTGTATTTTATGTAAACACACGAAATACATGTATTTGTTAAATATATATTATTACGTTGACTCTCCACAATAACCCTGTGACATAAGTTCTGTAAATTGTCAACGCAGAGATGAAGAGCCTGAGGTATAGAGGAAGTTAGATAACTTGCCTAAAGTCACATAGCAAATGAGTGGCAGAGGGATTCCACCCCGGGGTCTTTTGATTCTTAATGATATTGTTTAATTTATTTTTTCTTCACAGCTGCTTCTACGGGTATATGTGGTTTAGCCTAGGGCTAACACTGTTTATTCATAACCACTTGTAATATAATTTTTGGGAGATGCTGTCTTTGCCCAGTTTAAAGTCCATGGCTAAAGGCTGGTCAGTTTCCCTTTTCAAAGAAGAACAACTAGTTAAGTCCACATCTCAACCCTTGTGGGACCCCCCACACTCCAGGGCTACTGTGCATCTACCCCAATCGCGGGCCAGACACCAGACACCTAGGGCAGCCCCTACACCCTGGAACCCGAGGAATCATTCAAATTACCCAATCCGTAGGAAGCTCAAAAAACCTAGCTAACCCCACCCTACCTGCCTTACTTAAGCTCCCTCCTCCACCTCCAGCCTGCTGTTATTCTCCTTCCATCCAGTTGCCTATGTGGTCCTACCTGGCAGTCTTCTCTCATTTGTAGTCCAAGTAATAGAGTTTTGCCTTTCATCTACCCAAGTTTCACTGGGTTGTGTCTCGCCCTCAAAAGAATCTTTAAATCTTATACACCACCACTCTGGAGTTTAAATTTGTCTCTAACCTTTTCAGATACACTGTGATGTAACTGGAAAAGCTTTGGATAGAGAGACAGGTGTCTGAGCTTCTACTATAGGCTTTGTGTGGTCTTGAGCAGGTTTATTTAACCCCTTGGAGTCTCAGCATCTCATCTATAAAATGAACAATCACCCTCAATGCAGTGGTTCCTGTTCTGGATTGATCTATCATTTTGTGGTATAAATTGGTAGGATAAATCATTTGTGGTATAAATTTCTTTCATTTTGTGGTATAAATTGGTGTTGCCAAAGTACAAGGGTATCTGAGGACAAACTGAAAGAGAAATATTCAACTGGAAGGCAGTGCCTATGTCCTTTAGATGTGAATCTTTCAGTATGGCTGATTCACATTGAAGTCATGACAACATGATAAAAGGCATCATGAAGAAATCCTTTTGTCAAAATGATAGAATAGCACACAAAACTGGACTCTAGCTAATAAAACAATAATGACTGGTGTCTCTCCAGGCTGGTTGGTAGCCCATTATTATAGCACCAGAAACTTGCTTGTTATTGGGTTTTGAAAGTCTCCTTTCCAGAATGTAACCTACGAATTCTGAAACCATTTGTTAAATAAAGTTCCTTTGGGATTGTATATATATATTTTTTTTCATTCTCTCCCTCTCTCTCTTTCTTTTTCTTTTATTTTTCTGGTCAGGAACTTCAGAAGCTGCTGAAGCTGCAGATTTTGGTGTCATTGACCTGCCTTCCTCTTTGGCGGTTGATGAATCCTTGGGGAGAGGTGTCTGCAACCCTGATGGAGGGCCAGAAAATAGAGCTGCTGTGAACCGCAGTTCCTGGACGCCTGATTTTTCTGAAAGATAGGCTCTTGATCAGGCAAACAGGGACTTAATGATTTATGCCTTTATGCTCAACTCCAGATAAAGTTAGACTATATCCTAAAGCGTATATAGGAGGAAAAGCTATTACAGCATGTGGCTTGTCAGTGATAAATTTTAAAAAAAGAAAAGAGAGGGAGAATGAGAGAGAGAGAGACAGTAAATAGCCTGTACTTGAAATGATTTCCAAATTTCAGCAACCTAGGAATAATAATAGAAGAGAGAGTCTTTTTTCTTTTTTTAAAGATTTTATTTATTTGACAGAGAGAGAGAGAGAGAGGGAGAGAGAGGGAGAGCAGTGGAGGGAGAGGGAGAAGCAAACTCCCCACTGAGCAGGGAGGCCAACTTGGGGCTCGATCCCAGGACCTGAGCCAAAGGCAGACGTTTAACCAACTGAGCCACCCAGGTGCCCCTAGAAGAGAAAGTCTTAAAACACTTGTGTGGCCTCATCCTCTTTCACCAGGCTTTTTTTTTTTTTTTAAAGATTTCATTTATTTATTTGAGAGAGAGAGAGAATGAGAGACAGAGAGCATGAGAGGGAAGAGCATCAGAGGGAGAAGCAGACCCCCCCGCCGAGCAGGGAGCCCGATGTGGGACTCGATCCCGGGACTCCAGGATCATGACCTGAGCCGAAGGCAGTCGCTTAACCGACTAAGCCACCCAGGCGCCCCACCAGGCTTTCTTTTTATTCAAGGTTGAGCTCAGGGTTTTATGATGTATTTGTATTTTAGAACCAGAATGGATAAAAACTAGCATTGCAAAGGCTTGGCAGAAGCATGAGTTTTTGTTTCTGTTTTGTTTTTTCTTTAACCTCTCCCTATCTCTTTTCCAAAGACAAATGATTGTGTTTTAATAACCTAAATAAGAGATGGGTTTGAAATCCCTTATCAGGATTAGAAATAGAATTAAGATCCAAAATTATAATACCAAATCATTCTAGAGTGCCTGAGAGGTTCTGCTAGTTTTGTAATTGGTTAGGTTTCCCATTTAGATTCTTTAAAATACTTTCTCCTTCAGGTCTGGCCTAATTTTCCCTCTCCTGTAAGGGCTGGTACAAGTGAAGAGCCATCTCCTTGAAAGGAACTTTCTCTAATAGAGCAGACCTTCATACTCTATGCAGATGGTCTCACATCTCTTCACCGTTTCTGTGTGTTCTCTGTTGGTTTCAGTGTGCTCTTCCTTGTGACTGCGGACACCTGCTTTCGTCTTTGGAGGACTTCCCTCGGGCTATTGTAACCACTTTGCCTGCATGCTCAAGAGGTTCTGCAGACAGCTGGAGTGCCCGGGCACTTACCTATCCTTCAGGGGCATTTGGCCAGTGGGTGACCGGTGTAGAAGTAGGGAAGCGCATCTCCCCTGCCTCGGTGCGTTCCAGACTTCCCATGCAGAATCAGGTTGAAGCCATCATCTGTGAGACTTTGAAATATTACCCTGGCTTGGCTTCCTCCCCCTTCCCTGTCCCGCTTTCCTCCTTCCCTTAGTCCTTTATTTTGAGAGTACTTTCATAATGCAAATCCTATCTTAAGGTTTGCTTCCAGGGAACTTGACTTAAAACACAACCTTTCTGGTATCCCTTTTTGTGGAATTCTAATAACAATCTCTACATGGTTGGACACTAGTATTAGACCGTGTCACATGACTTGCTCTCTTTTCACTGCAAGGAAACTGTGATCTCTCTGATGGTTGATGGAATCCTATCTGGTGGTGTCTACTATTTTTACTTTATTGTGTCATCCTGCATCTATTTCCAAAAAAAGTCTGTAGGAGCTTTACAATAAATGAGTAGGTAAAATAAAACCAAAACCAGTGGACAGAAGATAAATGATGGGAACCAAAAAATAAGGGGAGGAGGAAGAAGGAAAAATCAACAACTCCAGACTGAGGAAAACAACCCAAATCAAGAATAATATTTAGCTTGTACTTCTTAGCAGCTAGGATAAAGATGGAAATATGATCTTTTTTTTTTTTTTTTTGGTAGTTTTCAATGTTTAGTAGCATGAAGTTGTCTTAGTTATCCATTGCTGTGTAACAAATTACCCCAAAAGTAAGCAGCTTGAAACAACAAACATTTATTAGCTCTCACAGTTTCTAAGGCACAGGAAATGTGGAGCAGCTTAGCTGGATGGTTCTGGCTCATGGTCTCAAGCTGCAGTCAAGCTGTTGCGACAGCTGCAGTCACATCAAGTCTTGACTGGGGGTGGAGAATCCATTTCGAAGCTCACTCATGTGGTTGTTGGCAGGCCTCAGTTCCTCACTGTTTGTTGTCCAGAGGCCTCCCTTCTTTGCCACATGTGCCTCCTCACAGGTGGCCTGAAAGTCCTCAAGACATAGCAGCTGGCTTTCCCCAGAATGAGAGACCTGAGAGAAAGCCAAAACAGAACTGCAGTCTTTTCTAAAGTACACTGGGCGATGATAATCCATCACTTCTGCTCTATGCCACTGGTCTCACGGACAAACCCTCATACGGTGTTGGAGGGACTACACAGTGTACCAATGCCAGGGGGTGGAGATCCCTGGGGCCATCTCGGAGGATGAGGACCACAGAAGTATATCGCATGTATTCATTTCTCCTGAAAGAGTGAAAAAGATTGTTCAAAGGAGGACCCCATGTGTACATTTTTTTGGTATGTTCCATGTACTTGTCATATAAAGGGTTCTCAATGAATATTATGGATACTCAAATACACTAGTCTTCCAGGATGTTTTCTCCATAATGAAGAGTAAGACAACTAAAACTATTGAGGACGTAGTATCTGTACTAGATACTACACTGGATGCTGATTTGGGTACTTATAAGTCAATCTTTAAAAAAGTATTATAGGTATGGCACTTCCTCTATATTTCTTTTTTTTTTTTTTAAGATTTTATTTATTTATTTATTTGGCAGAGAGAGATAGTGAGATCAGGAACACAAGCAGGGGGAGTGGGAGAGGGAGAAGCAGGCTTCTCCGCAGAGCACGGAGCCCGGTGTGGGACTTGATCCCAGGACCCTGGGATCATGACCTGAGTCGAAGGCAGACGCTCAACGACTGAGCCACCCAGGCACCCCTCTTCCTCTATATTTCTAATGCTCGCACTCTAAAGCAGTGCTCAGATCGCTTCAATCTGAGCTTCATCAGCCTCTCAATGTACCTTCCTTGGTCTCAATTCTCTTCATCTTATATTTCACTTTCATCATCATTATTGCTTAATGACTCATTACTAGTATAATAAAATCCAATCTCCTTGACTTTTCAAAAGCAGAATTCATGTACCCAAGTCTCTATCCCATTGCTTCCATCATGAGCCCTTGTCTTCAACCTGGAAGTATTCTCACTATATTCCAAGTGTCCATGCTAATTTTTAACTAAGAACTTATTCTTGCTGCCATTTCACCTACTGAGAGTTTCTTACTCCATTATTTGTTATCTTTGAGTCCTTGTTGAATTGTCTTCCTCAATATTTCCTTATCTTCACCACTTCTGCATTAGTTCAAGTCCTAGTATTTCTTAGGTGGATTATTACCTTTTTTTTTTTTTCAATTTTTTAGGTCCTTTCTGCTCCAATCCATTCTCCATATTGCTCCAATTTTTTTTTTTTATAACACGTCATACTGATTATATCATTTCCTTGCTTAAAGTGAACAAATCACTTTGAGGGCTTGACATTTAGTAGGTGCTCAGTAATTGTTAATTTCATGAATGAAAGGACCAGGTAAAGTCCCACTCTCTATTGCCATGAAGTCTTCCTATAATTCTGACTCTCACCTTAATCTTTCTCTCTTTTGAGGTCCTGTAATTGCCTGTGTTTTCTCTCTCATTTTGATGTTTTCCTGTTATCACTTAACTCTTTCTTTCTTTCTTTCTTTCTTTTTTAAAGATTTATTTATTTTAGAGAGAAAGAGAGCTCGGGGCTTGATCTCAGGACGCTGAGACCATGACTTGAGCCGAAATCAAGAGTCTGATGCTTAACCGACTGAGCCATCCAGGCACCCCCAACTCTTTCATTCATTTATTCTTCATTTGTTTATTAACATTTCTTTAGTACCTACTATATGCCATACACCATGCTAAGTCTTGGGGTACAATGATTAGGAAAAACAGAGGCTTTCCACCTTCATGGCCCTTAGAGTCTAGTTGCAAATAAGGATTACATTAAATAATCACATCAAGGAAGGTATAATGACAGACTGAGGAAAGTGTTGCAAAGGAGTGGTTGTATGAAGGCATGTAACACAGGACCCAGCCATGGACTCAGACCTGAGAGAGGCTTCTCTGAAGAAGTGACTACTTTTGAGCTAAGATTGGAATGATGAGTAGAAACCACACAACAAAGAGGACTGGGGCAAGGAGTGAGGATAAAAGACCCTGTTGTAAGCAATGCCGTGGAATACATAAGGACTGTGTAATGGGATAAAAATTTAAAAGAAGGCCAGGTTGATTGGATCCAGGAAGAAAAAAAGGACATTAATGGAAAAACTAGTGAAATCTGAATAATGCATGGAGTTTAGTTAATAGCAAGGTACTAATGGTAATGTTAAAGGTTTCTAAGGTTTGACAAACATTGCAGTAATGGACGATGATAATGTTAGGGGAAACGGAAACTGAGTGAGCAGTGTACGGAAACTCTCTACTCTCTATGCAACTTTTATACAAATCTAACATTATTCCCAATTAAAAGTTTATTTAAAAAAATAATAAGGCCAGAATGAAAGAAGCTCAGTGTGTAAAGGAAGAAGGGTGCAAGATAAGGCTGAAGATTAAGATATGGCCAAGATTTCTGCAGACCTTGTGCACCATCTTAAGAATGTTAGTCTTTATCTTGCAGTAAGGGAGGATCATGATAGTTTTTTTTTTTTTAAAGATTTTATTTGACAGAGAGAAAGACAGCGAGAGAGGGAACACAAGCAGGGGGGAGTGGGAGAGGGAGAAGCAGGCTCTCCCCCGAGCAGGGAGCCCGATGTGGGTCTCGATCCCAGGACCCTGGGATCATGACCTGAGCCGAAGGCAGACGCTTAATGACTGAGCCACCCAGGTGCCCCCATGATAGTTTTTAAATAGAGGATGTCACAGCAGAGCTGCATTTGAAAGTATCACTGGCCTGGGGGCAGTGTGGACAGTGGATTAGAGGGATACTGGGGTGGGACACTTGTAGTTAATCAGACAAGAAATTAATTAAAGGTGGGGCAGACTCTTCTTAGCAACATGTATGTTTTTGGAATTCATTTACCTTTTATTTCTCTTTAATGTCTGTCACAGGATTTTGCACATAGTATCTATGGGACACATTTATTGAATGAATAAATGAATAGGTAAATAGATGAATTAATGAAAAGGGATCAGATCAGGTTAAGCAGCCCCTTGGCAATATCATGGCGACCCTGTCCAAAACATGAGGGCTGGCACTGGTGATTTCTGACAGAATCAATAGACTTTCCCTCATAGTTTCCCCTCTTGCTTTCAAAAACCCTTCATCACTCCAGAAATGAGTGATTTCTTGTCTTATTTTTGGAATACCCAGTGCTTGCACAAAGGTTTAGGGAGGAACACTGATGGAAAAGCGGAGGTTCAAGAACACTTTGAAAGAAAACTTGGAAGTGTTTGATACCTGGGAATGCAAGAAATAAGTCAAGACGTGGTGAGTCATCGATCGGCACAATGGCTTCTTTTTGTGAGCATTTTCATTCTGCATATAATTCATATTTCCCCCTTTTTCGGCACTAGAAGTAATCTCAGCTTTCTTAGAGACATTCTTAATTAGGAGTTCTCCTAAGAGGAGAAGAGGAAGAAATTAGGAGAAAACTCCTAATTTCCCAATAGATAAAGGAAGCCCAGGGCAAGGCTGTAGCATGTGTATGTGGAAGGCGCCATACCATGAGTTCTGTTTGCTCACTTCAGCTAAGAGCCAGCGGGTTAGGCAGTGGCGGGTCTGAGTTTTCTGCAAGCCTTTTTCACAGGTTTCTGAAGAACCATCTCCTGAGCTAATTGGTTTGAAGATCAGGAGACTGCTGAGTTCCTTTCAACCTAGAGGAAGAAGGAACTAAGAATGATTAACATTCCAAGATTGTTCCAGCCAGGCAACCCTAAAGATCCCAGTTTCTCTCCTAGAATCTTTGCTCGGAACATTTGCGCTCAGTGTTTGGGGAAGTCTATCCCTACCCATGTTTGTTTTCTAACACATGACCAATTTTAGCCAATGGAGCTTATATCACGAATCTCAGAGGTTAATCTTTTCCCTTTCTTGTCTCCTCTCCTTCCCAGACATGCATTCATTTGACTGGCAGCCTGGAAAATTGAAAAATGCCACAGGGGTTATTAAGGTTGAAATCGTTTCTGCTCTTTGAAGCTCTGCAAGCTAGTTATTGCTGCACTATAATATCCAGGCCTCAGAATAGCACGTATTGTTCTTAGGCTTGTCTGACATAGGCCCATACCAGCCATAACACCCAGGTAGAATGAAGGGGTCTCAAGATGTCATTTCTCCACTCTGAAATATATCCCTTTAGTTGATTAAAACAGAGTCCCTGAAGTTATTAGAATGTATTCTGTGTCTTTGTGCACACAAGTTTGATTTACTTTTATTCTTATTAAAAGGGTAAGCCTAGAGAAAAGGAGAAAAGAGAATCTTCCATAATCCATATTTTAATAATTGCCTGAGTGCACATTTACTCTACAGAGACTTTCCTGTTTCTGTAACTATTTACTTGGCTCTTCTGCAAAATGTGTATTACTTACCTGGCCTGGTAGACCATGACACAGCTTCTGGCCTATCATGTAATCCTGTATTTGGCTCCCCCTGAGCCATTATGGTGTTTTGAGTCTGTCTGTAGCATGGAGATATTATTTTAATGGGTCTTTTTTTTTTTCACAATAATGGCTCCATATTGTATAAATTGTATGGAGTCATTATGATGTTAATACATAAATATTAAGAAAACCATTGGGAAAAAGTTACTGTGTAATTGAGATAGCCTATTTTCCAATGTTAATAACTTCTTCTTTCATTTTTTTCCTCTGTAAAAAATATTGAGGGAGTTTAATCCACATTAAAAACTTACAAACATTTATTAAAAAAAAAAAAAAGAAATCGTTTCATACCCTACCTCAATAACAGGAAATAATACCACCTCATCCACTGGAAAACTTCTATGAATCATTTAAACAAAACAAAGAAGGAAAAGAAAACCACCCCAAAACCAAAGTACACCATGGTAACAAGAAACTTCAGACATTCTTCAGGAGAGAGAATTTGTTTCAATTTAGCTTTAGGGCAATAATCGTTTTTACCATGTTGCTTTGGGCAAACAATTCAATATTAGCAGGAATACCTGCTTATGACTGAGAATCAGAAGATGTAAAATAATCTATAATAACAAAAAACCCTGATCATGAAAGTGAACTTAAATTCATGTTCTTCAGGGGCACCTGGATGTCTCAGCCGGTTAAGTGTCTGACTCTTGGTTTCAGCTCAGATCATGATCTCAGGGTCATGAGGTTGAACCCCACATCAGGCTCTGTGCTCAAATTCCATGCATATAGTTGGCTTACTCCTATATTGGTATATCAATCAGGGTCCCAGTAGGAAACAGAACTCATTCCAGATGGTTCAAATAAGACTTTAATAAAAAGATAACTTACAGAGGTATGGGGGCTGCCATCCAACAGGAATGCATGAGGAATGGTGAGGTGTTCCCCTCAGGGAATGAAAGTAGGAAGCCATTACCACACCCACCACTGAGGGCCCAGAGAGGGAAGTGGTATAACTGGAACCCAGTACGCACTGGAAAGACGGAGAGAGTGCTGCTGTCACAGTGAATCAGCACAGTTGTCACCATAGCTGTGGCATGAAAATAGAATGAGTGGGGAAGAAATACTCCAACTTCTGTCCTTCTGCCACCCGTCTCCTGCTGTACATCTGTTGGACAACCTCACCCAGGAGGCAGCTGGAGAGAGAGCCCAGGAGATGTAGTCTGCCAGGGCCACCTCCTGAACATCAAAATAAGGTGGAGCAAAGAAGGAAGGGGGCACCAAAATGGGAAATGTTCAGAACAATTGGTTTTTGTATCACTAGAGTTAGCATTATTGATGTCTAAAGAACTAAATTACTACTAAGGGATTATACTTTTTACCCTTCTTGAGAAAGAAGCTAGAAGTTTCATATGTTCCTTCACATGAGATAAGAATTTCAAAATGATCTTTGGCAAGTTTTTTTCTTGCTTTGCAAAAATATTCAAAAATTTATCCAATAGTCTAATTAATATCCATATAGGAAATTGCAATTTTCAAAGGATTTTATCTTTGAGATAAAGTATCTCATTTAACCCTAACCCAAGCCCTAAGAGGTAGCTATTATTTGATTTATTTTCCAACTGAGGAGACTGGAGCTCAGAGCATCAAATGACTTTCCCAATATCCTAAGTCAGAATGAACAGCAAAGATGCAAACCTGGGTCTCCTGACTCCAGCCACCTGGCTCTTGGCACTATACCACTCTGCCTTTCTCAAAATAAGAATGTCATACACTTGTGACAGCAGACACACTGAAAGAACAGAACTGTTTATACCTTGCAGGAAATCGCATTTGTAGGGGAACTAGGCATCTTCACATCAGACAAATCGGTCTCAGGAAGTCAAGGGCAATCTGAAACATCAAGGCCAGTGGAAGGAAATGGTTCAGGGAGAGATGCAAGATTTGAGGCAGAGACTGGAGGTATATCCCAAGGAAACAGTAAGAAGGAGTCTTTCCTGAGGAGTGTACATTCCTGAGAATGGTCGGGAAGAGAATATTAAGGATGTAAAGCAAGGCTTCTCAAGTGTTAAACAGATGGCTGCAACATTTCTCAAAATAGTGTTCATGGACCACTTCTGTCAGAATCACCGGGGTTACTAATTAAAACAGTCTACACTGGATCCCCCTCTGACTTACAGGGTCAGAGTCTATTTGAGAAGAACTACATGGTATGACATTTTGACATGTCCTCTACATTAGCCCCCTACTCTCCCACCTTACTGCACCCCTCCCCAGCTACACACACACACACACACACACACACACACACACACACACACACACACAGATGTTGAGAACAACTGAGAGCAAATTCAGGCAGCTTGACTAAAAAGAGCTCTGTAATGGGACTGTAAATATTTGGTCTGGCATGGCTGAAAATAAGCCATCTGATTACTCATCTATCATACCAACTTCTGTTTCTTTGCTTCAATCATACCTTTTGAATAAGCTTTTGAAAATGTATTTTCTAATTTTATGCTTTAATAAACAGGGTATATTAAAGACAAAATGACTTTTCAGACTCTTACAGTAACTTGAGTTAAATATTTTAAACATCAATTATGGTGAACGTTGAGGATATTTACATCTTTAGTAAATCTGTAGTAAATTGAGAAATTTGGTTGAAACTGTGGATGCTAAGATTGCTTTTAAAAAAGAATGCCCAAGACAGGCATGTGTTCTTGTTATTTAATCTCATTTTCATAAAAGTAACTTGAAAAATAAGCAACTGCAAGAACTCTAAGGTGAGATAATATGGCTGCCTTCTTTTTTGTAAAATTAATTATCGACAACAGATAAAGTCATCTGCAAGATGTTTTCTAATCAACACTAAAAGCTTCTTTTCTGTTTTTATCATCATCCTTTTGCAGCATTCAAAACACTATGTATTGTTTCGGCATCAATAACACTTCAACTTCCTGTCAGCTTCCTTTAGGACTCAAGTTTCTGGGTGCCAGATATATCGGGTTATCGTGTTTATGGTATGGGATGGAATATTGATTTTCATTGTTTTCAGTAAAGGTTTTGTTGTCATTTGGAACTTCATTTTGTAGAATATGGGTGCTCTACCTTCCTACCCTTTGAGAACTTCCTTGTCAGTTGGAACCCTATAATCTGAGTCATGTCTCAAACAAATGGCATTTTAAATCCTGTTTAATAACAGTTTTAAAACAGTGACTAAGGCTGACTATAATATAACTTAACTGTGAATCTACAGGCCACATCTACAATCAGCCCTGCTGATTTATAGAGAGGCACAGATACTTTATAACTAGTAATCTTAGGTTGAATTTGAGCTGATTGTAGAATTTTCCTTTTTTATTGCGATTCAGAATGGCAAATATATAGTTTTTTTCCCCTAAATGATGGTAGCATTATTGATCAGCCACAAGAACAAGATATGCTGGTTGATTTTTTGCCCCGTTAATGGATCATTAGGGAAGGTCTGTATACTTGGAATTGTTTTCAGGGAGGGTCTATGTACTCAGAATTGTTTTTCCAGTAATGGTCGTGGGTTTGAGTTGATTCATTCATACTAGAGAGTAGTCCCTCTTGGACTAACATCTGTAGTTTTGAGTTGGCTGGCCTGGATTGAAGCTACAATTTATAGTCATGGAAGTAGACCAAAATAAACAGCTTATCCCAGAATTAACTCAAGAGTTTGACCTCATTTGCAACAGGCTCTACACCAGAGTTTATTGGTTTTAACCTAATGGCTATTTTTAAAATTAAAGTCCTTATCTTTGGGGACTTTTCCAGAAAATCCACCAATTACTTTTTCAAATATCCATTATTTCTTCAGGGACATATTTGATAAGAGACAGAAGAAAATATAAGCATTATATATTTTGGTATAAAGATAACAGTGCAATCTCTATAGTAATTTCCTGTAAGTTCTTATCAATGCAATTTAAAGCAAACAATTGGAAAGTGAAAATTAAATGTGATCACCTTTTTAGGAGAGGTGTGTTCACAATGCCAAATAATCAATTTTATTGATTTTCCCCCTTTCTGAGCTGACCAGTTGTTCTGGTTCCCCATAGTAACACCTTAGCATGTATCTCTGAGAGCTCTCTATAAATTGAGAGATCTTAACAGGTGTTACCACCGGACCAAGCCATTATATCTACCATAGCACTTTTATAAGACATGACACTTACCTGAGTGTTATTAATTCTTAGACTGGTACAAAAAAAAAATCACTCAGCTATTCTTTTAAGGTTTAATTACA